TGTCTTAATGGATATACAGTGGAGCGTGCGCGTAATTAGTGACTATTTAAATTGGGATCTTCTTCTGAAGATATGTAGATACTGTAATTCCTGCATCGGCATTTTTATTTTTGTGTTGTTTGTCCTAAAGCAAAGCACTCTGAAGCTTCTATGGGAAAGGTGAGGTATTAACGAGTATTACAGATTTTGCAATAACCCTATTTATTTGTACAATAGTTTTCAAAATAGGAGTGCCTGAAAACGTTGAATCTTCAAATCGTGGATCATTTGTAGAAGTCGTTTTTGGATGTTTCAAATTCGTTAAGGTTGATTTAATAACGAACCAATAATTTCCACGAAATGCCTTAATTAAGACAAATAAATACGAAACAGATATTAAATTGTAATTTTTTGTTACATTTAGCTGTCCATACAATATTCACAGTTTCACTTTTTATTTGACATTTACCCATTAAATTACCCAAATTAAAAAATATATAAACTAAAATGAATCTGCTTTACTTTGGTTTTATTTACAAAACATCCCCAAGTTATCAGTACAAACTCAAGAGGCTGTGGTCAAAGTATTTCAAAGTTTAAGGATAAATTCGATTCTGAGAGCAGTTAAAGTGGGCAAAACTTGGCCTGCACTTCCTACTGACCATAAACTGGTCAAAGGCTGGTGAGCCTGTCGAAAGAGTCCTGCGAAAGGCGAATCAAACTGAGGAATGTCAGGCACAAGCACACACACACAGCCATCGGCAGCGGGTAATTGGGATGGCAAAGTGGCTGCGAGTCAGCGAGACTTGGGAACTGGCAAAAAAGGAGCAGCAAATTGTGTCATTTTCCGTTTATCTGTATCTGCAAGTTTGTGCCGCTCAAACTGCCATTGAATAAAACGGGGATTCGGGCCCGAAGGATGCTGAGTGTGGAGAGGAGATGCCAGTGAAACGGAAGCCGCGATTAAATACAAATAAGGCATTAAGTGCAAAGGCGCTGAGGCGCATAATACAAATTGCGTCGATTGGGGGGAGGGCGCCCCCCGCTGATTGGGGGGCGGGCATAAGAGGGCAGAGTGCCCTGGAGTCTGCCGGGGAAGTTTGTCTGGGTCCTTGAGTCCTTGCCGGCAGTTACAATCGAAGCGGGGGAAAATAGCGGAACGAAACTATGTTGTGTCTGTCAACTACAGACTTGTGACGTCTTTAAGATATCATTTCCATTAAAGTTTGATTTTGATTTAACCAAGAAGTTTGTTGGATATAAAATATATATTTGTATTAGAAGATTAATAAATGTTCTATTATAGAAAAGCCATTTAAGAAAAAAAATTTATTAAAAAAAAAATTAATATTCTTGGAGTTTTATTTCGGGTGGCAGAAAATATTTATATATTGATCCTGTACCAAAATAATACAAGAAAATCAATATATAAATCGATAGTTGAACATGTAAAATATCACAACGTTAAATTATCGGTTTATACTATTTTTGTATTGCGAAAAATATCGAAAAATGATAAATGCTTTAGCTTTGTCATTATCAAATAATCTTAATAATATCAAAGTTTCAATCAAGCAATACATAGGGCTAAGATCTTGAAGATTCTTCCCTCTTTAAGGCCTCCACTCCTTGGGTCAGGGAATATAGCAGTCAGCTAGCTCGTAGACATTTTTTATTCATTTCTGCTGCCGGCTCCGCTTTGCCTGCCAATTTATGCTCCGCAATTGCTCAGCCCATAAGTAGGCAACGAACGAGGAGGAGCGCCCTTCATTCGCATGCAGGACCCTGGCCAGGATGTGGCAGGAGGCGGACAAAGACCATTACACTGCGGCTGGACGCGCTCGGTGGGGCAAGGACCTACTTCTAGGACAAAAACCGGGGGGACTGGCAATTGAAAGTGGTCTGGAAAGCTGGGCTTTAAAAATTTATGAATGTGTCGGATGCGTGCGCCTGGGATCCTGTCAACAGGAGGGGGGAGCATCATCCAAGGACGAGTCAATGGATGCAAGTATGCCAATTTATATTTAGCCCTGGCTTCTCATCCACAGACAAACGCTCTTCTCTGGTTTACTATGATGTTGTGTTTATATATATTCATTCTGTTGTATTTTTTTTTTTTGCTCGGCCAGCTGCACAATTTTGCGGTTCATTTAATATTTTTTCGTGTTGTTTACCTGGCCGGGCCGGGCCGGCCCGCTAACTCGTCCAGTGGCATTGGCATTAGCTTTGGCATTAGTGTTAGTATTCGTATTAGTCTCGGCATTAGCTCTGCCATTAGCCTCCTCGCCGCGGGCTCTTTGAAGCTAACGAGCTGCCATGACAATTACAGGCGGGGGGGCTGGCAGACGCTGGGTCCTCCGAGTCCTGCCCTCCAGCCAGGTCTCCTCCAGTTCCCCATTTATATTTTATTTGCAAGAATTGTTAGCTGGCGAAACAGAAAAAAGTAGCGCCAAGTCATCACAATATGAATAAGTCAACGTTCGGTTCGGGCGCTGGCTTCAATTTGCTTTACAAGAAAAATGGCAGTGAGGAAAATTCTTGCTTAAATCGGATATATGTATGTTCCTTGAACAGGTTGGGATATAATATATCTGAGCTATATTTTTGTATATTTTTTATTATAATTGAAACACTATTTATACCTTAAATAAATACTTGGGGTATTTAACTGATTATTATTTTCATCTGTTATTATTCCCATAATTAAGTATATAGTTTTTCCTCTTAGTGTACCTTTGTGAGAGTGTGAGTATGTAGTGGTAGGTGTCAAGCACCTGAATTGAACTGAGCACGGCTCAACTGAACTCAACTCAACTCAAATCGAATCGAATCGAATGGAATAAAATCGAAACCGAATTGAACAGGAATAACGCGGCATAGCCCTCCTGTCAATAATGTGTATGCATTCGTGGTGTGTGTTTGTGTGTGAAACCAACAGGGCGTGCAGTTCCAATTAAATCCAAGCATTCAATTACTGAAAAGGCGACAAATGCACACAGCCACTGGCACCTCCGCATAAAGCATTTCTTTTTATATGTTTTTCCTTTTTTTGCAGTTCGAGATGAGAGCATCGAATTCACACAAAACTTTTGCTATCACCAGAAAAGCCAAACAAAAATGTGGAAAATTGGCGTAACTTTACACAGGCAGATTTTTAGTTCGGATTTTAAGGTTTGCCTTATTATTATATTTTTTGTTTAGCATAAAAAACAGCTAAATGCTTTAATAATGAATCAATCTTACAACTTGGGGTGGTTAGTAACCTCTTTTATTAACATGCAACCCTTAGTGGTATTATTATTATTTATTTGAAATATATATAAATCCAAAGAAAATAAAAATTAGGCAAACTGAATGGTAAACAAATGGCACACCTGGCCAGAACTAGTTTCTTGTGCAGAAAACATCAATTTCTCGTTTTGAATTGATTAAAACTGACAGCCGCGAGTTCGGGGAGAATCGGAACCAAATCGAATCCACAGGCTGGGAAAAACAATGCTTAGGCAAAAATATATATCCTGCCGGGGATTTTTTTATGCCCCTGTTGTTGTTCGGATGCCAAACTATACAAGTTCCATATGCGGATGTTTTTTCCACTTGCACAGCAGAAGCGGAAAACTTGCGATGAGTTGAGTGGCAGCGGAAAAACAATTTTCCATGTTGCATGGAAACGGGGACATGTGGGTCGAATGGGTGGAGAGAGAGAGAGAGAGAAAGAGTCCTGTCTAACTGATTTCCTGTCCATTCTCTTTCCTGAATATTAAATATTTGAAACTCTTTTAAAGGGTTTTGGCAGGAACTAAATAAATTAAATTTTTTGTAACTTTAAATGAAAATTTAATCATGCACAATTTAAAAAATTAACATTTGTGAAGTAAAGTAAACATGTGCCAAAATTATCGCTTCAGTATACCCAATGGTTTCTCTGATAAGGACTGAGGTGCCTCAAGGCGACAAAAACTCTTAATTTTATAAAAAAAAATAAACTTATAAAACTTGAATTCCCAAAGGAGTATAGCTAGCAAATAATTTTAATATTTAATGCATCTGTATGTATGTATTTTGCTTTAATTAAGTTGGCTTCTGGCAATGAGCCATCAGTTATGGAAAGGCTTTACTTCGGTCAATCGAACTGAATCTGAATATAGCTTCAAAGCTTACAGCACCTTTGCCTGGACAACGCCAACTACCCTGACGGGGATACTCTTTCTGATTGATCACATTTGGGATGGAGATCCCAACAAGGTGGCTTGGGTGTCTGGTACTGGTTGGGAAGCCTGTGATATAAAGTGTACGCATTTGTTAGTGCTATAATTTCTTCTAGAAGGAATTTAAAAAAACTACATATTGTTCATTTTTTCAGGGAGTGCTTCTTATTGTATTATTTTGCTGATGGTTATACTAGTAGCATTAAACACAACCCTCTTTTTACTGACCATCATCAGCATTATAAGAGTAAAACTCTCACTGAGGCACTTCTCCGGCGAGGACGAGAGGGCAAGAAACCTGAACTTGAGAATGCAAATGTAAGATAACCTTAATTAGATATTAAGATATTATTGTCAAGATATTTAAGTTTTCCACAATCCGATCACAGGTATAAAGTATTTCTACGGCTGATTTTCTTGATGGATATACAGTGGAGCGTGCGCTTAATTTATTTTTATGTTAATTCGGACCTTCTTCTGGAGATATGTAAATACTGTGATTCCTGCATCGGCATTATTATTTTCATTCTGTTTGTCCTAAAACGAAGCACTCTTAAGCTTCTTATGGAAAGTATAAAAAAATGACAATAAAATCTTAATGTGTTGCAACATTAAATTATTAATAAACTTATATTTTCTAAATTGTTAATCAAATTTTTTAACTGGTAAGCATTAAGTCAAAGGTAAAGGAAGCTGAACGTACAAAAGTAAATAAAAAAATATGTAGAGGATATTTTTCAATGGACTTTACTTTAATTTGTTGATTTAAAATATACAGTTTTGTTATAATTTTATAATTTGTTTAAATTTAGGTCAGCCGGTCCATTGTGCGTCCAAGACATCGATATTGTATCGCTTGTTTCGGGCCAAAAAATCCGAAACCCAGTTGCCCTGCAGACAACCGTTTCGACAGGCACATCCGAACCAGTTGCAAGGACCCTTTCCGCAATATGTACCCACCAGGGCGGCACCATTGCCACAGATGGTTACCTTGCAGGCGTTACCGGATCGCCTTCCTCCAACGGCACCACACCCGCCACTCGAGATTTTATACTCAAGGTTCACCTTGGTGGTGCAGCATTCGGAATAGACACCTCCGATTAGGGCCAGCAGACAGGCCCCAAAAATTAGAAGAGCGATTCGCATGGTGAAATTTCTGTAGACGACTGACTTGGTCCACGCAAAGTTCCCCCTTTTAAGCCAATTATTTGTAAGACGCCACAAGAGATAAGCGGATATACAGAAAGGCAAATTTATCTTGGAGAATCCCATATCAGTTGAGCAAATTAATTGTGCCAAAAGGTATATTAACCCTGGTTGTTCATATAAACGGTCTTAGGCAGCGTTCGCTTTTATAAAATAAATATAAAAATACTTTGCAACTGGATAGTTTTATTATTCAAGGTGGGTTTCCAATAATACGCAGTAGATTAATGTTAATGTACATTAATAATATCGATAGAGTATCGGCTGTTTTTGGCCAAGAAATCATCAACCCAGTTGCCCTGTAGGCATCCATTTTTGCAGGCACAGCCGAACAAGTTGCAAGGACCCTTGCCGCAGTATGTACCCACCACGGCCTCGCCGTTGCCGCAAATTATGATGCTGCAGGAGTCACCAGATTTCTCACCGCCAACATCACCGCAGTCTCCACCGGATATTTTGTACTGGACCGTCTTCATGTCTTGGCAGCACTCGGAGTTGGCACCTCCTACTAGGGCCAGCACACAGGCGGCAATTACCAGAGGAGCGATTATTACTGATTGCATGTTGAGAAAGGTTTGAAGTCAGCAAAAACACTGATAAAATCCATAGGAAAAATGCCCTTTTTATGGGAATTTTCAATAAGAGATAAGCAGAAATTGATCAACTTATCGGGAAAATTCTAAGAAATTTATGCTGCTATCTGGGTTGGCAGGAAGTCAAACATTTCACATGGTTACATATTTGCAATGCATTTTTATTTCAGCAAATAGAATGTTAAGGAAAAAACAATAAGATTGCTTTAGCAAATACCAGATGATGACAGATTAAATAAAGTACCTACTGACTCTTGAAATTATAAAAAGATAATTTCTTTATATCACTTCAAGATATATCTACCACGAGTTGAAAGATCCACAGGGTTTTAACGAGAATTCCTGCATTACAAATTACTTAAGATCTATATACAAAATTAATTTATAAATTTAAAAGTACAAGGAATTCCTTATATATTAAATTAACCAATAAAGGTTCACGGATCAGTATAATCTCATATTTTTCAGAGGATCGATGCAAAAGGTCCGCACTAAGAGAATAATCACAACAAGCGAGTGAAAATTACAACAATCACAAGACAAGATTATGGAAATCTATAATATAGAGTTTTTATAATACAATAAAGCATCTACTTTTGTGGTGTCAATAAAGATGTCTGACGACACCCAGAAAAAAACCTGGTCTTGAAGTGAAATTATTAAAAGGTTTGAGAAAAAGTTACTAAAAAGCGATAATGGCCCCAAAAGTAGTAGTGCTAAGAGAAGGAAATATCATGTAAAAATTCATGATATGTGATTTTAAACATTGAAATTTTATTTTATATATATAAATATTTTGAGCTAACAATTATTTCATTTATTTAAAGTATTTTTAAAGTTCTTCAAACTTTAGAAATAACCTGCTTCTTTTTAAATTTTAAAACGAACCCAATTTCTTTGTGTGTATAATGACTCAAGAAGCGTTGATAACACATACTTTCAACATGTATTTCATTTTTATTTACTTATTGTTTATTTCAAAAAAAGAATTAATCAAATTCGTAGGTAAAATCCATTATTTTTTCCACTTTTCCAGGACTATTTAGGATAGTAGTGCCAGATCGTGTCCACTACCTTAATGGAATACTCGTTGTTCTTGGAAATAAAATCCTTGGCCCAACGACCTTGAAGGCACCCTTCGGCGCATTTACAGCCCGCTGCATTGCAGGTGCCGTTCCCGCAATGGCTGCCCATCATCACCTCTCCGTTGGCGCAAATGGTGATGTTACAGGATCCCGGTGCATCGCCTGTTCTGCCCCCAACAGCTCCGCAGCCATAATAAGTGATTTGGTAGTTTAGAGTCGCCTTGGTGTTGCAGCACTCGGAACTAACGACTCCGATTAGGGTTAGCCAAGTGGCCGCGGCGATTAATAGTGGTGCGATTATCAAGTGTCGCATCTTGCGATGTTTTAGGAAAAACTGCTCCATTTTCGATGAATCCCGGTATTTATAGGAGGCTGGCTTAACGAAGGGGAATCCCCTGCGAGGCTGAGGTTATCAAAAGTGGCCTATTAAATGAGCATGATTTATTTTTGCTTGCCTTATCGCTGAACACAATTTATATATATTTTGAGACAAATACAATCTGCTCTTTGGATTGTCCAGAGAATATTACTTTTATTATTAAATCGTATTTTTTAATTCAGGGCTTACCAAAACCAAACAACCTTCTAAGCTTCTTTCCATTAAATTCTTATGTTTTAAGCGTCATGTCCTTAAATAAAAGCCTTTTTCTTGACCATTGATCCCTGGGTACCATAAAAAAAGGAAGCATAAACAAATGCAGGCGGACATTAAACTCAGGCACTCGGTCGCTCACTCATGTGCTGGCATAGCGAACATAAAATGTGGGCACTGATTACATTTGCATACGAATATTACGTATACGACCCGAAGGCCCAGAATATCGATGCAAGGGTTAGAGCGAGACGCTCCTGTTTATCCAAGGAATTTAATTTCCAACTTTGAGTTTGGCCAGGCGGTGCCTGGTGAAACTTTGTCCTGTGACGGTGATCTAATAAAAGGACCACGGCGACGCCATGTGTGTGACACTTGTGGAGCTGGTAGCTAGTCCTGGTGACTGGGATTATCCTGCGCTGGCGAGTAAACTTTAAATTATGTAATTCAACACATTGCAGGTGGCCGGAGGAGGAGGGAGCTGAACAGGCAACTGGCAGCGGGCAGGACCAGGACCAGGACCACATGCAACATGCAACATGCAACATGCGACGTAAAGCAGGCAGCAACACACACTCACGGGGCACGTAGCAAGGGCACTGAGGGAAATAATCAGGGTAAATATTTTTCATTTGTGTGGATTTGTTTCTTATTTAGATTAATTTAAAACCAATATTTTAGCAAAACTTCCTCTTAAAATATTATTAAATTATATAAAAAACATATAAGAAATCCAAAATGAATAAATCAAAATATGTATAGTCCCCATTTTTCCTCAGTATTCGCATAAATTGAAGCCCTGTCCGCTGTTTGCCGCTTACAGCTCGCTGTTGCTTGTTTCGCCTTTTGTCCATGAATGAATATGCCCCACCTGGGAGCCGGGATCCACGAATTTCAATTAACGTGCCAACACGAACGAGTTGCGCCCTGCGGCGGCGCCCTCGCCCAGCCAATTCTGCACCTTCCCCACCTGTTTGATGATACGCAATAAATTTCCCCCCAAAAAAAAACCAAGGAAAACCATTCAAGAAAAACCAACGAAGAGGAGTCTTAAAATACCCTGTTATCGCTGAATTGCATAATCCCCTTGGAATATATGTATATTTCTCCTATATATATTCAGTTTCAATAGCTCTCCGATGCACTTTTCAGCTTACTTTAATCTGATCTGCGATTAAATTGTGACAAAGCGAACCCACTCGCACGAGCACTGATATGCCTTCGCTTAATACATTTATATATATTTTTTGTGCGTGTAAGGAAAGCCATTTCATCTAAATTGCACTGCGAATGAAAATCATTTATAAGCGTTAAATAAAAACCAAAGCCAGAAGACAAATCGCAGCGGCGATATGATTGGATTGTGTTCTTGAAAATAAATGGCAGATAAAGATTTATGTTAAGATGTGTTTTTGTGGGAAAAAGCTTATTAAGATGGGAGGTGAAGATGAATGCCTCAGGTACTTAAGGGAAAAAAACCTAAAGGGAGAGGAAATTCGGCTGAAAACGAATAACTGAATAAAAATTAGTCAAGAACAAGAAAGAAAGCTAACTTTGGATTGAATCGTTTAGATTTAACTAAAAATAAACATTTATTCTTATGATAATTTGATTTTTATCAAATTTCAACTATTTAATTTTATATAATATACATATATAACACATACAAAAAATGTAATCCATATATTGTGCCAAAAATTAATATTTAGGCAGTAAAGTTAACATGTGGCAGTATCAATGATTGATAAGTATTCCCCTCTCTGATAAGGCCCCACAAAAACAATAGCAATTCTCTATAAGAATCTTTATGGCAAATATATAGCAACAATAAATTTATGAAAATTAAATTCCCAAAGGCAAATCATTAGATTTTTTATGTATTTTCAAAATAGTTGCTTTCCGGAATGCTTATAAAATCGTTCGCCAAGCTGCTTGGGAATTAGTCGAGAATTTTTGTTCGTTGATTATGTTTCATGACACAATTAAGCTATATTCCATTATTTTCGTGGCCTTCCTGGAGCTCATTTTCCTACAAACAGCAAAAGCGGATATTCCCGGATGTCACTTCCTAGAAACTGTGAATATAACGTCTAGTCTGAGGCTACAAAACGGCTCCTATATGTACCAAGACATCGAGATTCCTGAATATTTGACTGGTCAATATGATTACATAACAACTGAGTTGGATTATAATGAAACTGTGAAGAGCCACCTACGGGGATGTGTGTGCCAACTTAAGCCATGCATATGGATCTGTTGTCGCTTTAAAGATTGGGATGAACCCAATAGTAAATGCACAGATGGTCTGATGGAGGAGTTGGCTAAAATCAATCCCTTCCTTAATGTGACACTCATCAATGGATCTGTGGTAGAAACGAATTTGCTAAAGAATTTTATCGTGTTGAGAGATCGACTGCGGTATTTTGATTTTTGGGAAATAGATAAGTACACAATATTCGAGGTTAGTTCTTCTTTTTGATCCATGTTTCTATAACTAATTTGATATTCTTAGGACGGCTCTATACTGTTGAATATTACGCCCACGGTTATCTTCAGGGGATATGACTGTCTCCATCCAAATCAGTTTATTTCAGGCAACACAGAGTCCTTTATGGCTGCCGTCCATCATAGATTGTATAATGCGATGCCACTGTTCAAGAACGCAGTAAATAAAAAGCGTAAGAGGAGTTACTATGTAGCCTTTTGAAGTACTTGCAGTCCTCTAATCTTTCAAATATGTAGTCCTGTACCTTTCAGAAGTTTTCTTGGTTCTCACAATCGCAGTGTATCTTCACTTAAAAAAGCTCCGAAATCTGCACGGAAAGTGCTTCATCTGTTACATGATAGCTTCGTTTATGTATTTTTTCTTTGTATTGCTGGAAGCCGGTCCAATTCATTTCCAGTTGTGCGTTTTACAAGGTATGCTGTTTAATAATTTTAATAAATTGAATGTAAATTTATTGTTTTGTCCTAAAATTGCAGGTTACGTCATGATTTATTTCTCCATCGCCAAATTCAGTTGGCTCTTGGCTTTGAGCCATCAGTTGTGGAGAGGCTTTACATCGGTCAATCGAGTTGAGTCTGAATATAGCTTCGGGACCTACAGCATCTTTGCCTGGGGATCGGCAGCTATCCTGACGGGAGTACCTTTCCTGATTGATCAGATTTGGGATAGCGATCCCAACTCGATGCAATGGGTGTCCGGCATTGGTTGGGCAAACTGTCAATATATACGTAGGTTTTTGATAGTATTATTATGTCTTGCACAAGAATATAATTTTTCTTAATTTCAGTTGCCGATAACTATTTTCACTACATTATTGAAACTCCGTTGGAAATACTAGTAGCATTAAATACAATCCTTTTTATGTTGACCATTATCAGCATTATACGAGTAAAACTCTCACTGAGGCACTTCTCTGACCAGGACGAGAGGGCAAGGAACCTGAACTCGCGAATGCAAACGTAAGATCTAGATTAACATTAACATCATGAGACTTAATTTTCCCACAATCCAATTACAGGTTTAGAATGTTTGCAAGTCTCTTCATCGTTATGGACATACAGTGGAGCCTTCGCTTTACTTCAATCTTTGCTGATTGGAACTATCTAATAAGGATATGTAAATACTGTGATTCTTGCATCGGCATTATTATATTCGTTTTGTTTGTCCTGAAGCGCAGCACTCTTAATCTTCTTAAAGAAAGGTAAGGTATCCATGATCATTCGAGATTTTGCCATAACCCTATTTGTACATGTACAGTATACGAAATAGAAGCCATTAAAAACGGACCAATGTTATTTTCCTGACATGACATTATTTTCAACTTTCTTCTGTGCAATTCTGATCTTTCTGGATTTTCTAGGAGCCAAAAGTCGAATGACTCATTTTGAAATTTTTGATTTAATTTTAAAGCGACCCGAAAACATATAAATGTGGATTTTTGAATACTGACTGAAGTGTTTTTTATTATTTCGTATTACCTAGTCTTAGCTTTAGCTTTTTGATAATTGAAATTAATGTGATTTTTTAACTTTAATTAATTTTGAAAATGAGTTGGTAGGAAATTTTGTAATATATTTAACTTCATTCGCTTAGATTTTATTATATAAGTCGTTTTTTTTATTTGTGGAGCTTATTATCCTGCAAACAGCAAAAGCGGATATTCCCGGATGCCACTTTTTAGAAACTGTGAATATAATATCTAGCCTGAGGCTACAAAATGGCTCATATATGTACCAAGACATCGAGATTCCCCTATATATTTTCAGTTTCAATAGCTCTCCGATGAACTTTCCAGCTTACTTTAATGCCTCAGGTACTTAAGGGAAAAAACCTAAAGGGAGAGGAAATTCCGCTTAAAGAAAATCAGATATATGACATCGATTCGATTAATAAAAATTAATCAAGAACATGAAAGAAAGCTTTGAAACTTTGAATTGAATTTAACCAAAAACTAAAATTTACTCTTATGAAATAATAATTAGATTTTTATAAAATTTTTAGCAATATTATTAAAATATAATATATATAATGTATACGAAAAATGTAATCCATACATTGTGCCAAAAATTAATATTCAGGCAATGAAGTAAACATGTGGCATCTCTGATAAGGCCCCACAAAAACAATAGCAATTCTCTATAAGAATCTTTATGGCAAATATATAGCAACAATAAATTTATGAAAATTAAATTCCCAAAGGCAAATCATTAGATTTTTTTTATGTATTTTCAAAATAGTTGCTTTCCGGAATGCTTATAAAATCGTTCGCCAAGCTGCTTGGGAATTAGTCGAGAATTTTTGTTCGTTGATTATGTTTCATGACACAATGAAGCTATATTCCATTATTTTCGTGGCCTTTCTGGAGTTTTTTTTCCTACAAACAGCAAAAGCGGATATTCCTGGATGTCACTTCCTAGAAACTGTGAATATAACGTCTAGTCAGAGCCTCCAAAACGGCTCATATATGTACCAGGACATCGAGATTCCTGAACACTTGACTGGCCAATATAATTACATAACGACGGAGAAGGGAATCCAGCAAAAGGTAAACAGTCACCTACGAGGATGTGTCTGCCACCTGAAGCCCTGCATATGGATCTGCTGTCGTTTTAAAGATTGGGATTCATCCAATGGCAAATGTACCGATGGTCTGACTGAGAAGCTAAGTAAGATCAATCCCTTCCTTGAAGTGACTCTCAACAACGGATCTGTTGTGAAAAGAAACTTGTTAAAGGATTTTATTGTGTTGAGAGATCGAATGCGGTACGATGATACTTGGCAACTAGATAAGTACACATTATTCGAGGTTCGTCCTTCTTTCTGTTCTATGTTTCCGCGACTAACTAAAAATTCTTAGAACGGAAGTGTATTGTTCAATAGTGCGAACACGGTTAACTTCAGGGGATATGACTGCCTACATCCTAACCAGTTGACTTCAGGCAGCACAGAGTACTTTGTGGCTACCTTTCACTCCGACTTTTATTATGAGAAGCCTCTAGAATCGGTACCACAAAGTAGAAAAATGCGTAAGAACAGTTACTATATAGCCAGACGAAGTACTTCTCTTCTTATATATTTCCTTTTCAACCTGCAGTCATATGGCTGTCCAACGCTTTCTTGGTGCTAACAATCGCAGTGTATCTGTACGTTAGAAAGCTACGGAATCTGCATGGAAAGTGCTTCATCTGTTACATGATAACTACGTTCATGTTTTTTACCTATTATTTGCTGATAACTGAATCAATACCTTTACAGTTGTGCGCTCTTCATGGTACGTATAATTTACATAAATTGGGTGTGCAAATAAAATACATTTTAATTGATTTTGCTTAGTTTTTAACTTCAAATTTCAGGTTATTGCTTTCTCTTCTTCTACGTGGCCAAGTTCACTTGGCTTTTTGCCCTGAGTCATCAGCTATGGCGAGGTTTTACTTCGATCAACCGAGCTGAATTTGAATACAGCTTCGGGGCCTACAGCATCTTTGCCTGGGGATTGCCAGTTGTCCTGACTGGAATAACTTTGCTGATAGATCAGATTTGGGATGGCGATCCCAACAAGGTGGCTTGGGTGCCCGGTCTGGGTTGGCAGCGATGTTTTTTAAAGAGTAAGCTCCTCTTTTGTTACAGCTGTAATTCCATGAAATGATTTTTCCTTATTTACAGGTGGCTTATCTTATGATGGCTACGTTTTGTTGCCGACTAGAACACTCATAGCTTTAAACACAATCCTAATTATATTGATCGCCATCAGCTTTATAAGAATAAAACTCTCATTGAGACACTTCTCTGACCAGGACGAGAGGGCAAGGAACCTGAACTCGAGAATGCAAACGTAAGATAAACTAACATTAATATCATGAGATTTAAATTTTTTACAGTCCAAACACAGGTATAAAGTGTTTCTACGACTGATTGTCTTGATGGATATACAGTGGAGCGTGCGCGTAATTAATTTCTATGTTAATTCGGACCTTCTTCTGGAGATATGTAAATACTGTGATTGTTCCATAGGCATAATTATTTTCGTGATGTTTGTCCTAAAGCGAAGCACTCTAAAGCTTCTAAAAGAAAGGTGAAACCCTATTTATTTGTAAATCATTATTTGAAAAAGAAGTGCCTAAAAACGGGCCATGGAAAGGATGGCAAATCAAATTCCAAGAATATTCCCGGAATGCCTTAATTATGACAAATAAATATGAAATTTTCATCATACTATATTCTCTCATATCCTTTCAAATTCCCTTGCCAACAAAAATGTTGACCACCACTGCCTGCAGGCTTTAAGGATGCCATTTTGATTAGGCCAGGGCCATCTTCATCCACATTAAGACAATATTTTTTGGTACTTAAAAAAATCATGATCCTGGAATCGATTTAGATAGGATAACAGAAAATTCAAGCCAAAGGAATGCTCTGGGTGAACGAACTCACTCGCTTGAGGCTGCGTGCTGAGGTGTTGCATGTGCCTCGCTCGGAAAATATACTTAAAAGGCAAACGTGTGCGGGTGCCAAGCAAACACACACATCCTCGGTGGCAAGGACACACAGCGGGACGCAGCTGGAGGAGGAAAGTCAAGCAAGTCAGGCAGCCAAAGCTTATTTTACAAACGCCAGAAGGCTGACTTGAAAGTGAGCTTAATAGGCGACGTGAGAGAGGAACTTGGTGGCCAAGGAACGAGCAGTTGAATGACTTTCCCTAGCTCCTTTCCCTGCCATATCCTTCGCATCCTGCTGCCTGCCAATCTGGGCGTGTGCGCCATATCATTGGATTAGGGCGATTATCTTTCTCAAATATCATTTTGCACGAATGCCAACAATTTCTAAATTTCCCGCGATAATATTTAAGGTGTTCTTTCTCTCTCCGTGACCTCTTTGTGGGCGCCGAAAAGAAGGCGTGGCCGCAGCAGCGATTGCGTGCAGCTTTAGTGGCTACCAGGTAACCGAGTGGAACCATACACTGCAACCAAATATTCAGCGTTTTGGCTTTGTTAATTTATCGTAATATGTATTTTCTTAAACATATAATAATAACAGTTAAAACTGGAATTAATATCTTCAAAAATCCATAAAATTCCACATTCTTTGCTCAGTACTCCTTTAAAAACAAACTAAAATTTCAATTACCAATTGTAGTCGTTGTTTTCAATTTGATTCTGGAGTACATCAAGGCTGCTTGTTATTCTGACTCTGCAGGGTCAGGTCCACAGGTCCAAAACCAAAACCAAAACCCAAACTACTGGCTGGCTATTTGCTTTTATGGCTTGTTTGCCAGCTCGTGAAAACTTTTGGCCCACACACGGCCCAAGTGACCCATTAAACGAATTGAAAATGAACAACGCACTCCAACTCCAACTCCTTCTCCTCCCCCTCCTTCGCTTTCCTTTTGTACCACAGCGCGTATGTGTAATAAATTTTGATTGAGTTGCACTGCATTGCAGCTTAGGAGAAAGAATCCCGGGCAAAGTCACATCACATCGAGATTGCTGCGGCGAAAGTTGTGGTCATTGCGGTCCAGCAGATTTCATTGAATCCAGAAACCCAGCACAAAAATCCCAATATACCACAACTTTGGCCAGCCAGAAACCAGAAAACTTTGGCCATAAGCACCACCATGAAGGAGCCACAGGCAAAACAAAACAGAAATACAAAAAAAAATACAAAGAAAAGCACGCCAAAAGAAATAACACAAACACATTTGGCATTTGCCACTCGTGGCCCTTAGGGCGGCAACGTGGCGTATACGCAATATGCAATTAACTCGACCATTTCCACTCCGATTATGCTTCGCAGGCACACAGGTGCAAAGTGAAAATATGTTGCCAATTAATGTTAATTAAATTCATATTTGTGCACTTTTGAGGTCTGTAAATTGCTTCATTTCCTTGAGTATTTATGGCGGGCAACAGCAGGGCCTTAAAAATTAATTGTGGCAGTGATTTTAAGAGAGTTTTAAGTGAGGCGGAAATGTACTTTAATTTATAAAATTTATAAGTGTGACTTCTTTAAAACTGGTTTTTTATATGGTTTTCTTACTAACAATATATTTTTTAACATAAAAACGTCACGCACAGCTCAAAGACGACTAAAATATATTCACGATTGACATTCAAGATAAAAACTTTTGTATTCCTTACAAATTTGATTGTTTAGGAAGGCAAGCGAGGAGGGAAAGTTGCTTAGAATATGCACTATGCATAAACTCTCGGGCGACTTGCATAAACAGCTTCTCCTAAAGTCATTTGCAACCATTGAATTCCCGCTCAGTCGTGTGTATATGCTTTTAGCCAGTCAACTACCAACTACCAACTACCGTCAGCAGCCATTTCGTCCAATGTCGCTTGTGTTTGCATAAATTTCCACGCACATTTTCCCCGAAATGAACTTTGCATAGATGCCGCCGCACTGAGAGTGCCATCTCCCCCAAAAACAAATATTCATATACTATATGTATATAGTATAACCCTCGCATTAATGGATACCATTTCATAATTTACAACGATAACATTTTGAATGCTTAATCACGAGTGGCAACAAAAGCGCATAATTAAAAGAGCTCAGCTTACCTTCGGTGCGAGATGAATGTTTGAAAATTTGAGAATTGATTATTTATAGTGCTACCATGGAATAAAGTATGAGATTCCACCGCCCTGAAAGAGGGAAAAAATATAATAAATATTAATATTAGTACTTAATTAATGTCTTTAGTATTTTGTACAAAAGAAAATATTTAGAAAAATTGATACATTTTTAAAATAACTTTAAAAACCTGAATAAAGACTGAGCTCTTCTATTCTACTTCTAAGCTACTCTTTTGCTACAATCAGTTCTTCTCTAAACCGGCCATCAAGCTATTCCTAGCCTCAAATGTCACCCCAGACTAGCTTCATTTCAATCAGTTATCCAATAAAATAGAAATAGAATGCCATCCGATGTCAAGAAGCGCGATGCCCAGCGCAAGAAGGAGGCGCGCAACAAGAAGATCCAGCAGATACCCTCCATGAAGAAGAATCTACCCTCCAAGCAGCCGGAATGCGAGCTGACTGAGGAGGAGTTGCTGTGCGCCAAGCTGGAGGAGGAGGCCCGGATCAGTGCCGAGGCCCGCTCCTGCACCGGCTCGCTGGCTGTGCATCCCAATTCGCGGGACATCAAGATCGCCAACTTTTCGATCACGTTCTTTGGCGCCGAGCTGCTGCAGGACACCATGCTGGAGTTGAATTGCGGCAGGCGGTACGGTCTCATTGGGCTGAACGGGTGCGGCAAGTCCTCGCTGCTGGCGGTGCTCGGGGGACGCGAGGTGCCCATACCGTCGCACATCGACATCTTTCATTTGACGCGCGAGATGCCGGCCAGCTCGAAGACGGCGCTGCAGTGCGTCATGGAAGTGGACGAGGAGCGTATTAAGCTGGAGAAGCTGGCCGAGGAGCTGGCCATGAGCGACGAGGACGAGGCGCAGGAGCAGCTGATCGACATCTATGAGCGGCTGGACGACATGTCGGCCGATCTGGCCGAGGTCAAGGCCGCCCGCATCCTGCACGGTCTGGGCTTCGACAAGGCCATGCAGCAGAAGCAGGCCAAGGACTTCTCGGGCGGCTGGCGCATGCGCATCGCCCTGGCCCGCGCATTGTTTGTGAAGCCCCATCTGCTGCTGCTGGACGAGCCGACGAATCATTTGGATCTGGACGCGTGCGTCTGGCTGGAGGAGGAGCTGAAGACATACAAGCGCATCCTGGTGCTTATCTCGCACTCGCAGGACTTTCTTAACGGCGTCTGCACCAACATCATCCACCTGACCGGCAAGCGGTTGAAGTACTACACCGGAAACTACGAGGCCTTCGTGCGCACTCGCACGGAGCTGCTGGAGAACCAGATGAAGCAGTACAACTGGGAGCAGGACCAGATGGCCCACATGAAGAACTACATCGCCCGCTTTGGCCATGGCTCCGCCAAGCTGGCCCGTCAGGCTCAGTCCAAGGAGAAGACCCTGGCCAAAATGGTTGCCCAGGGGCTAACGGAAAGGGTTTCGGGGGACAAGTTGCTTAGCTTTAGCTTCCCAGCCTGCGGCAAGGTTCCGCCCCCGGTGATCATGGTGCAGAACGTGCACTTCCGTTACACCGGCGAAACACCGTGGATCTACAAGGACCTGGAGTTCGGCATCGATCTGGACACGCGTCTCGCCCTAGTGGGACCCAACGGCGCCGGCAAGTCAACCCTGCTGAAGCTGCTCTATGGCGATCTGGTGCCCACCTCGGGCATGATCCGCAAGAACTCCCATCTGCGCATCACCAGCATCTCCACGAGCTGCTCGACCTGGATGTCAGCCCGCTGGACTATATGCTGAGTGCCTTCCCGGAAGTCACGGAGCGGGAGGAGATGCGCAAGATTATAGGTCGCTTTGGCCTCACCGGCCGCCAGCAGGTCTGCCCCATCCGCCAGCTGTCCGATGGCCAGAGGTGTCGCGTGGTCTTCGCCTGGCTGGCCTGGCAGGTGCCGCACCTGCTGCTGCTGGACGAGCCGACCAATCACTTGGACATGGAGACCATCGATGCTTTGGCCGATGCCATCAAGGATTTCGAAGGCGGCATGGTGCTGGTCAGTCATGATTTCCGTCTGATCAGTCAGGTGGCCAACGAGATTTGGGTGTGTGAGAAGGAGACGGTGACGAAGTGGAAGGGCGGCATTCTGGACTACAAGGAACATTTAAAGAATAAGATTGAGAATGAGAACGAGAATAAGGCCAGGGCGGAAAAGTAAATGATATTCTGGTACAGAAGCACACTCGGGAAAACGAGAGGAATAACGAAAACGAATAGCAAAACGGGAACGAGAAGAAGGCCTAGGTGGGTCAGCAGACGATGCTATAGAATATATACATGACTCTTCAGATACACTAAGAGAAATATACTCTCGGTGGGCATGTAACGCGTATATGAACATTTATATAATTAAATTAATAAATCTGTTATAAGACTCTGACAAGTAAAGGGTACAACCTCCACTATTCTCTCAAATTGCATCCTCAGATACTTGTTGAAAGCCCCGAGGATAAGACTTGAATTATGTGACATTTTCATACCGTTCTGCTTAATTAATTGCTTATTACTTTGTCATACCGATGTCAAGTGCAGTGACAATCAATGGCATTTGTACGTAAGGCTTAAGTCAAAGACCCCACAGGGAAGCCGAAGCCAAAGCCCCGCAGAAATCAGGCGGCGATAAATGACCGATATAATGCGCACAAATTAACATGCCATTCATCTTCCGACCTTTCAGGTTCCGATTGGCAGAGAGAGCAGTTAATGGCAGGAAAAATCTCAGAGCAATCGGACCCTCAAAAAAACAAACACGTGGATACGGGTCGTATGTGTAATATATATATATAAATATATACCAAGGGCAATGCATAATTCATTTTAAGCACCACTTACCGTTATGAGGAACGGCCGTGCTGGCGATTTAAGAGCGAGTTTAATGCCTTTAATACGTCATTTTGGGCCAACAAGCGGAGCTTCTGCCGCCGCTGACCCTGATTTATGGTGCGTATACTTGATGCGGCCGCTAAAACCGCACAAAATGCCTGCCAAAAACTTCCTTCTCCGCAATACACACACATATATATAACTTCAAAAACATGAGCAGGAACATGAAAAAGGGCAACAGTGTATACCGGCCATTATTAAATTTTATAACATTTCGATGCGTCTGCATTTCAATTGGGCCCATAAACGGTTTAAGGTTTCCCTCGCCGGGGTCATAAACTTTCCCCGGTCGAATTCGGATATATTCAAACCAGAAGGGATAGCCTGTGTGTATATATATTTCAGGCCAAGCACAATTTAATTTATCAAAGTCATAAACTTTACAATGGGCTAAGCCGCAGAATGCGTCATAAAGGCTAGGCGGGATGGGCACAGACTCGGGCTTAGACTCAGGTTTTTGGCAGACAGTTTATTTACTCACCAAAATGTTGGTGTCTAAACAAACACGGAAGTGCGTCTCAGACTTGAGATATTTTCTTTGGGATTTTTATGACAGGATTATGAGGCAGCTTAAGCATTTCTAATAACTAGATTATTCTTTAAATCGTTAAATGTAATGAATGAAAAATTTGTGCAATATTCTAATATAAATAAATAAATAAATGTGACTTTGCACTAGAAACAAAAATAAATACAACATTTTTCTATTAGGATAAAAATACAAAAAAACTATGTATAACTAAGCTTAACTATAATTACACCCTGCAATCAACTGCCGAAGAATAATTACTGGCTATTTGGTATTTGATTTGTCCCATTTCCCAGTAAAACCCACCGGGAAATAGAGTGTTCCGTGTAAAACAAATATTCGAAAACATTCTATACGCTTAACCTGAATTAGAGACTACTCCCCTTACCGTTTAGCTACCTGGCCGGTGAAAAATCTGTGAAAATGTTTTTAGTGCCGTACGGAAATTCGATTACCAAACGTTTGATGTCCAGTCAGCCCATGTGTCCCGGCCCCTCCGTCCAATTAGAGAGCCACTAACGACTCCTTTTAGGCGAAAAACCAGGGAACCCGAACATGTCAGAAACAACAGCAACAAAAATAGGGAATATAGAAATAAAACAAGGGCGAACAGGGGCAGGACAGGCGAAAGGGAAAACAAAAATCGCATTTTATGTCGCTTAGTCAAACACAAACCGAAAATCTGTTTATTTATCGCTCAATGTCGGGGGTTTCCCCCAACTATATAGGCTTAGGCGCTGTGGTCGCTTCAAGTTTATGCCATTTAAGCACAATTTTCCCCTAAAGTGGGAACCCAACTCTCTAACAAACAGGCATAAAATGCGGCAATAATAATGCTTTTCGGGGCTTTACTGGTGAAAGGTAACGCGCTGGCATATATCATCATATCCGAGTGTGCGTGTGTGTGTGTGAGTGTGTCTATAATTTATGCAACGCCGCATTTTCATGGCTCATCCCCGTGACTCGGATTTTGAGTGAGTGAAGCCGAAGCCGGAGCCGCCTGCCTGCCTGCCGGAAATCAACAAAAATTTATTGAGCATAAATTCAAAGCCTCCTTCAAATGCTCTGGTTCGGTCTTTGTTTATGGAAAGCGTTTTATGGGATTTTAAATTGATTTTATTTCCATTCGTACTCTCATTTATTCGTCTCTGATTTCCCTTAAAGCTTCCTGTGGCATCTACCCAATTACATGGCCATCCAAATGAAGAGATTGCGATGGAATGTAGATGGAGCACAGCTGTTGCTTTTGTTCACAGCCCCCAGGAGCGGGAGGAGGAGGATGAGGCGGAGGGTGCAGATGACCCACCAGGTGCTTGAAGTCCCAGTCCCAGTCTCAGACCCCGTCTCCATTTCGATTTCCTTCCCGTTGTCATTTTCCCCGATGCTGATGCTCGTCATTCAATGGACATTCAATGAAATGTTTTATTATTGACAGAGACACAGAGAGATTCCCGGCATCTTATCGCACTTTGCTCCACTCCCACACAAGTTTCCCACTCTAAACACGTAAAAGAAATATCTTGGAAATGTCATATTCAATGGGAATTAAGGAATAATGGTGATTAAGTCCAGGAAGAGGGAGGTACCCCACCAAAATCTTTTTTTCCCTGAATTTAAAAAGTAATGAGACCTTTTAAAACCATAATATTAATGCCTTAGTCCATATAAAAACCTTTTCTCCTTCTCTTTTTGTTTAAAAAATTTGTTATTAATTTTTTCAGTGTACGCCCACAACTTTCTCGCACTGTCCCTGCCCTGTCCATTTGGTTTTGGCCTTTTGTTCATCGCTTGGCTGTCGCTTTCAGTTCTTTCGCTGCTGCTGTGCTACAAAATTGGGTGCGATAATATCTAATCATTACTTATCATTATTGGCTATGGTCTCTCACTCCCAAAATGTCCCCCTGTTTGCCTTTTTTTTTTCTCTCGGCCAGCTAATGGGGGGCGTACCTTGGATTCCACAGACTGTTGTCCTGCGGCTGTCAGACAATCCCCCCGCTCGCTCTTCCCCTTCCTAACCCGTCGCCCAACGATTACCGAACAAATTAAATTAGTGAAAATGCCGAAACGAGGAAGCCAAGGAAGGAACCAGGTGAGACAATCTAATTGCAGGTGCGGGTGTTGGGCTGAGGAGAGTGCGTGTGTCTGTCCTTGGGGGACATATGTTAAATCTGCTAAAAATGCGAGCAGGTGTCGGCAGCCAATTGGCCTCTGGGGTCAGGTTCTTGCTTCTCGTCCTGTCCTGCTCCCGACCCGTTCCATCTTAAACAAGCTAATTAGGTTTAATGGCCAGAGACCATTTAGTCGGACGCCGCTCGTGGTGCCTGTCAAATGCCAAAGGGGTTTCCCCCAAAGGACAATCGTAGGTCAAGGGTTAGTGTCAGAGTTCAGGGAGAGTAGTTGCTGTCTGTCTGTCCCACAATTGGCTTACCAGAAAAGTTAATTAGTCATGTGCCTGTCGTTCGTTATTTAAATTGCTGCAGAAAATGGAAAAACGACAAATGTCGAGACGAAGGGAAATCAATAAACTAATTTTTGAAATATCTAAATTTTAAATTGTAATAAAAAAAACGGGATTATATAAGGAATGAATAAAATGTGGATATGTGGATATATCTGTTTTGATATTCAATGACAAATTTTATATTTAATTCGACTTTTTAACATTGCGATATACTGCATGTATTTATTCAGATTTTGTTTAATATATCGGACTAATACAATCGGAAATCAGACAAATTAAATAAAATGTTTGGATATTTTTCAAAGGATTTTTACATTAAATGTGATATTTTCGCTATTTAAAAATTAAGAAATAATTAAACTAGATATCATATGAGACTTTTTCTCTCGATAAGAACAAAGAAAACCTTAAAAGTGGGCATAAAATTTTATTTTTTATCAAAGAAAAATGTTGTGACCTGTTTTTCCTTGTTAAAATGAATTTATTTTTAAAGTAAATCTTAGCTCTTTTAATGGATAACTCTTCCTTGCTCAATCTTTTTACAAATATCCAAGTTTATACAACTTATTTACAAGTGTAAATAAATTCTACATAACATATAAAACTCTACAAATGACTTTGAGGCAGAAACCTTGCTAAAAGCTTTTTATACAAAAAGCTTTGCCAAGAAAAACAATTTTAAAAATTCTGTTCAATTCAAAAATCCAAAACCAACACCAACGAAAAACAAACTAGAATCCTTAGACAGGAACTTCCTATACATTACCCTACATCCTTGAACTGTCTTCCACCCACGAAGACCCCGACATAGACCTCTCACAGACAAGGAACCCAAGGTGAATCGATCAAACGTTGGCTTTTGGCATGGCAGCCACTCGCAATCAACAAAGGCGGAATTAAAGCAGGTCAGCAAACTGTCAGTGAAGGAATGCTTCAGAGTCCCAGCAACCTCACAGCGGCCATGAGCGCCACAAAAATCTTCCTGCGCTATTATCCGCCAGGTGGGAAAGGTCATTAAACTGTGGATTTTCGAGCTATATTAATTTATTCCTGCTTTTAACCAAGGTCTGGCAATTAATTATCGAACTACCCAGGGCGGCGAGAGGCTCCGTCACTATGATCTACTTGACCTAGATAGCAAGTGAGGGTCTTGAAATACTTTTTAAATATTTTATTTTCTAATTATTTTAATATTATTTCTACCCAGAACCAACGTAGAACCCCTGGCCGACAGGATTCTCCTGCAAACTCTAGCCGAGGCCGAAGAGGAACAATCTCAGCCCAAGGACGAGGATGAGGCATCTTTACCTGCAGCCTGTCCCGCCAGCGGAAGGGTGGCCAATGCCCAGAACACCTTTAGCGCCTTGAAGCAGGCTCTGGAAAAACTGCAGAGAAAACTACGCGAGCCTGTGAAAAAGAAATTCTACCTGCACAAGTGCCACAATTCGCACATCCTGCCGCTGACCAATGTGTGCTTCGATCGGAGTGGCGAACGCTGTCTCACCGGGAGCTATGATCGCACCTGCCATGTGATCAACACCCAAGAGGCCGAGGTGGAGCACATTCTCACGGGCCATGACAATGTGGTGTTCTCTGTGGGATTCAATCAACCGCACTGGTGGGTAATTACCAATTTTAAAATAGAAAATAGTTAAACCTCCTATTAATTCCCAGCGATAAAATCGTAACCGGCTCCTTTGATGGCACTGCCAAGGTTTGGTCCTCGAGCAGTGGCCAGAACCTCTGCACTTTCTACGGACACACTGCCGAGCTGGTGGCTGCCGAATTTCATCCTTTGCATGCCAATGCCATAGCCACCGCCTCCATGGACGGCACAGCTCGCGTTTACGATGTGGAAACCGCACAGGAGCTGCAGACGCTTAGCCACCATGGAGCCGAGGTGATAGCTGCTCGATACAATCGCGATGGTCAGATGCTGCTCACAGGATCCTTTGATCATACGGCAGCTATATGGGACGTGAGGAGCAAGAGGTAAGTGCAGTTTGGAACTCTATGCAGCATCAGTTATGCTCAGGAAATTCTCCTTCTGCAGCCTAGCCCATCAGTTGCGTGGCCACAGCGCCGAGCTCTCCAACTGCGTGTGGAACTTTAGTGGCTCTCTGATAGCCACCGGCTCGCTGGATTACACAGCTCGGATCTGGGACGTAAGGAGGTTGGATCGGGAACTCCAGCTGGCGGCCAAGCACAGTGACGAGGTCCTGGACATCTGCTTCGATGCGGCTGGGCGGCTGTTGGCCACCTGCAGTAGCGATTGCACGGCGCGGGTGTGGAACGTCGAAGGATCCTCGGAGCAGCTGGAGATGCTCTCCCTGATGGCTGGCCACACGGATGAGGTGTCCAAGGTGTGCTTCAGTCCCAGCGGCTGCATGCTGCTCACTGCATCGGCGGACAATACTTCGCGTCTGTGGCTCACCGACTCCGGTCAGTGCTCTCAGGTGCTGGCCGGGCACGAGGGAGAGGTCTTCAGCTGCGCCTATAGCTACACGGGGGATGCCATTCTCACCGCTTCCAAGGACAATAGCTGTCGCTTTTGGAGATGATACGACTGGTATACGGTTCAGCTGAACGACGAAAATTAAAGGCAGGGTTTTTTTCTTGTTTTTTTATATTTTTTTTATCAACATTTACTACAAACTCGAGCGTAATTTTGCTTTTCTCTCTTAAGATTTTTCATCATCATCATCATCAACTTGCTTTGCTGGTTCTTATAAATTAATAGTTTTAGCTTTTCATTTATCGTTTCTTTAAGATCTCGGACATTATTGTGGATTTGCTTTGCTTACTTTAGGCTTTTAGGTATTACTTTTTCTCATCGTAGATAGTTACAGGTTTTGTTTGCTAGTTTTGTTTGGTTTTCTTTTCCCATTTTTTTTGTTTTTGTTTCTTCTGCATCTTCGCTTTGTTTTTAACATTTTGTTTACTTTACAAATATTAAGTTTCGCATTCCATCTCTCATACACATGTACAAAAAAGGTGAACAAAAGTAGTGCTTCTTCTGCGGGTAACAAACATTTTACAAACTTACAAAAAATCCGCTTCCGCTTGCTTTCGGAATATAGTTAATACATTTTTTGTTTATTTTGAAATAATAAAAGTTCATCGTACACACAAGAATCGGGCTTTTATCATCGGTTTCCGCTTCGGTTTCTGCATAATTGGTGTGGCCCTCTTCACGGTTTCAAGAGAAGAGTTGTCTGTATGAACGATGAGGAGATGACGGAACGAATGGGGCACACAGAGGGTTAGGTTCGGACATTTACATGGTAAGACGACGGTTCGGGTGGATCAGTGTTGCAGTAATCATCTGCTGCTGCTGGCTTTGAGCCAATTCCAGTTCTGGTTCTCTGAGGTCTGTGCTTATATAGGTACGGCTCTGTTCTGGATCCCTCCTTTCTTTATCTTAGAATTGTTGTGTATTGTGGTGTGTTTTCTGCCTTTATGGTGTACTGTGGTGTTCTGGTGTGTGGTTGGTTGTTGTGTTCTAGGACTTGAGGCTTCGTACAAACTAGAAATGTATCGTAATGCTTATTTTTTATCATCATTATTCTGTAGGTTTTTCTTTTGTGTTTTTATCAAAGTAGAAAACTGTTTGGTGTGTTCTTTCTTGTGTTTTGTTTGTATGCTTCGTTCAAGTTGCTTTCTTCGTTTTTTAACTGGTTTTTTTGTTTAGTTTTTCATTTTTTCGACTGCGAACCTAATGCGTTGGACTCTGCAAAACAAAGAGCAAACTATTATAAACAATGAAGGGAGTGGCCGTGAAGTTAGACACTTTTGCACACAGCGGATGGACAAGTTGGTAAAGAAACAGATGATGGAAACATACAGGCATGCGGCTATTAAGGATTTTGAAAGTGAAAATAAACACAAAAAACGAGGCGAAAACAGAAACAGAATGAATGAACATCGATGGAGTGACGAGACAAGCAACAAAATGATTTTCGCCTTACATTTAGCAATATGTGAAGCAGAGAAGGATGGTTTTAAATTATCTTTTGCTCTCTTGTTGGTTGGTTGGTTGGTGGTTGGTTGGTTTGTTGGTTGGTGGTTTGTTTGTTTGGTTTTAAAAATGAACAATTATCAATTACAAAACTCATATATCATCATATGCATACGGCTAGAAATAAAGAAGAGAATAAACAAGGTGGCCAAAGGTTAAATGTTGCGTAGGTGACGACAGTGATTAATGGCGACGTGTTTCGAATAGGACTGCTAGCTCAAATCATAACCAAAATCTTTCACCTTAGTCTTTTGCCGATTGAACCATACACTAAGTATTAAGAAGCAAAACTCAAAAGGCTATATATAATAATGATGGCAAAAAGCGATAATAAAATATGTGTGTTAAAAGCGCAACTGTTCCAAGATTATTTATAGATTATAAAAAAGATTTCGTACTTCACATGGTCGATCCGGAAACTCCTGCTTGAATGTGCGCTCGATAACGTGATACTTGGACTGCAGGCCGCCACCCGGTGGAAGACCCTCGATGTCGTCTCTGTTCTGCAGACACTTAAGCAGGTCCACATAGTCGGTCACCTTGCTAGACTCTATCTCGTCTGCAAACAAGATGGGAGAGAATCAAAGGGTTAAATCGTGTCGAATGGCAGATAAGCATCCGGATCTTAGCCTACGAGACTTGTAAAACAAATGGATTTATGTACAGTAAATGGTTGATAATAAAAATACAAATTGGATTACATAGTTATGCTACTTCAAAAGCAAATGCAGTATATATAGAGAGAGAACAACGGCTTATATTGTTTAGGAATATCAACAAAAAACCAAAAATTGTGTGGTCATCTCAAGCTTCTTTTTTTTTGAAATCGAAAAACCATAGATTTATGTTTAGCAGAGTATGCATATTAAAGCTTTTAGAGTCTTTTTAAATATTATATAGTGATTAAAGAGAAAATAATTTAAAAATTACATTTTTCAAATAATACAGAGTATTTTTAATGAATAAATTCAAAAATGGTATAAAAAAACAAGAAGGGAAATTAACTTCGGGAAGCCGAAATTTGTATACCCTTGCAGATCAAAACTTAGCCAAAAATGCATTAATTTTAACTCCGAAAACTTTTCTGTGCTCGTTTTTTTTAGGTTAACAAATCTGCATACTGAATTTTAGAATTTTAAGAAATCAAAATTTTTGTTAATTTTTGAGAATTTTAACGATGTAACCCCTTATAAAATTTTGAAAAATAAAAAAAAAAATTTCTTTCCAACATGACTAGAAAGACTCGCCTGTGGATGCTGATCAAGAATATATATGATTATTGGGGTCGGAAATGGCTGCTTCACAGCTTTGCGAGCTTCTGACTAAGATAATAATACCCTGCAAGGGTATAAAAATTTACTTTTTTCCTAATAAAAACTAAACTAAACTAAGCACGGAATTTAAAATAGGCATGTACATCGACAGAAAAAGCCTGATCTGAAATATCGACCAAGATATCGCGCCAAATATATCCGAAATATGTTATTCTTTTTTTAAAATATTAAGAATTTTCAAAATCAAAGAAAACATTAATTTATCGCAACTTTAAAATATCAATTTAAATATCGATGGTCGTGCCAAATATTGCCACAGTATCGATATAATTATTAGCTATTTCTAATTCAAATATTTATGTCTTAAACAATTTGCAGAAAACATTTAAAAGTGATTCCGAGAGATAAAAACTTAATTTGTTTGAATGGAGGCAGCGGGGGGACATCATGCATTTTCAATAATCTATTGGAACTTTGTACAATACGACTTTTGTTTAACAGATAAAAACTCAAACTCATTGAAGGCGGGGGGTCAGGGCAAAAAACAAAACCAAATTAAAATCAAAAACCAAATCAATCGATAAGATAAACTATAACAAAAATAATGACAAATTGTGACTTTTGGAAAGTTACAAAACTACAAAATTATAGACGTACCTTATGCTCACTCACATCTTAAATTTGTATTTGCTTTCTGTTTCTGACATTGACTCGCGCTTTTCGGCAAAAATATTGTGTATTGGAAATTGGAAACTTGGAGATGTTGAGGCGCCCGAACAACAACGACAGCGAATGGCTAAAAAGGTCTCTTATTTTCGAACTAGGCTCTTTGGGAACTCAAGAAAAATGGTACAAAAGAGAGTATAAGTTAACCGAAACGAGATGATATATGTTTGATATAAAACAGGATCGTTCTCGGGGGAATGTGTGAAGAAGAAAAAGAAAAGGGGAAAGCGAATGTGAAACTGAAAACTGAATCCAATAGAACAGCAGACGAAACACTTTTGACTGTTAGTTTTTTTGAGAATCTTTCGTTCAAGTTTTATATTTTTCAACTAGGTTTTGCATCTGTGTATCGTGTATTTATGTGGCAATTACACATTCTTCACTTTGGGGTACAAATCAGAGCTCGCAAATAGCAGGACAAGATGTATTATAGTATGTCTTTCCCTGTATATGAATAAATTTGTTGTTTTTAAGAGAATTGTAGCTAAACGTAAACCCTTATTCACGAGCTCTGGTACAAGTATATATAAATATATCAGGGGAATATTGCTTAGGTTGTGTGACCGTCTTGTGTAAAGTAAATCGTGTTTGCCTTTCGTTAACAACAAGCACAACAATTGTTGGTGAGCATAAGGTTTACAATATTAGTTTCTTTCTTTAACCTACGTAATACATACATAACACATTCAAAACCCCTTTGGCTAAACTATTCTATTCTAGGCTAAGTAGTTTCGTCTGGACATTTTGAGTACTAGAGTATTTGTCATCATGGATTAATTATTTGCTTAATTGTTTAATTTCTTTTTTAGCTACTGTTGTGACCTACTTGTGGTGGGCAAGGGCAATGCATGCTCTAAGTATCTAATTTGGTTTAAAGTATTTTGTCTATATATCAACAAGGTCACGTCTGACAAAAATTCACTTTGGTGTTTCAAAATACTGAAGTCTACTGGAGATTTCGCATCTCTAGTGGCTTATTGCTTTGTATACGAAGATCTCGAGTATTTATTGCTTTATATACACATAAATCCAGGTAATACTTGTTGCTAGTTAATAAAATATATGCTTTGTTGATTTCTTGCTTTCATGATTTACAAATCTACCTACAAACGAGTCTTCTCTGAAGATACTATTCGCAATTTTCCTCATCATTTCCAACGGTATCTACTATTAGTTTACATCAATTCCGAGTGTTTTGTTTCGAGTGTTTGTTAGGTATTGCAAATTTCCTTTGATTGATACGAATTTATATATATACAGGCAGGAGGTTCTCATTAATCGTTAATATCTGTAGTTGTATATATGTAAGACTAAAACTAAATGGTAACGCGTTTTTGGCAGTGTATTAATAATACTATAAACTCAGACACGCACACATTCGGAACAGAGAAACTACCTCTCTCCTCGCTCTGGACAGCCACACGCACAGCCAGCACAGATATGACAAACTAACACGCTACATTCAGTTATATTTGCTATGCATTAGCGATAGGATATTGGTAGTAAGTATTACCCCCACACACACGCCCACCTTAAAGTTTTCATACAGTGAAAGTTCTCTGAGCTCTCTACTCTTTAAATCCTTAAGGAATTTTGTTTTTCCCAGGTAACTAAAGTAAATTATTATGGAAATTTAAATTAATGGCATTCAATGGCTTGGTAATACTTTTCATTGCTATGTAAATCCATCCCAGAGAGTTTCTACTGTACTATTCAATGGGTGTGTGAGGAGGTGGGGGCCTCATTCTTGGCATTGATTGGTAATGGCAATGATTTGGTTTTCGTTTTTGGTTTCGTTTCGTTAATTGTTTTGGAACTACTTGATGGAAGGAACTATACTTCTCGGGAATCTAGGTTTTCTAAGCTACATCTCTAGACGTGATTTGGGTTAGATATGACCCGACTGGGAGGACTCGCGGGGTCCTCAAAGGTACAATGTATATACGTATTTTCGGTTCGATATATAGAGACACGGAGGAGACAAAGGATCAACCGTTTAACGATTAGTTATAAACAGAGTAGACGACTTAGACAACCTCTTGTGATCTTCTCGATTTGCTTCTCCAGCCGATGCTCAGCCTCTATCGCCTCCTCTGTGGGCTTCGGTGCTCCCGGGAAGGCAATGATGATGATGCTCATGTTATCCCGACTGCCCTGTGTTTGCATAAACGAATGAAAGCATTACATACAGGATTAATGGATTAATTACCACCCACACACTTACCTTGTGCAAACAAGTGTCCACGACCTGATTGGCAATGCTCACCAGGTCGCTTGTCACGCGCAGTCGCGAGTGAATGAAGCTGCACACATCCTCGTTGGTCATCACATCCCAGATGCCATCGCAGGCGAGGACCAGAAACTCATCGCTATCTTGGCGGCTCTGACAGAAGATCTCCGGTTCGGGGGAAACCAGCTGCTCGCACTGGCCCTTCTCCTTGACGTTCTTAAAGTCATAATCGCCCAAGGCTCTTGAGACGGCCAGCGTGCCGTTAACGCGCTTGATCATAACACTGCCACCGGCATTGTGGATGCGCTCCTTCTCCTCGGGCAGAATGGGTTTGTGGTCCTGCGTGGCGAAGACCGGCACTCCTTGGCGACAGAGAACGGCACGGGAATCCCCGCAATTGGCGATGTACACTTGGGTGAGGCTGACAAAGGCGCAGACGGCAGTAGTGCCCCCGCATTTCTCCTCCTCCTTGGTGAACTCTGGCAAGTCCCGCATCACCTCGTCGATGCGCAGGAAGCCCGTGCGTATGCCCTTCACGTGATCACCGCTAATGAACTCCTCGGTGCTAACGATACTGTCCAGCAGATGCTTAGCACAGTGCTCGGACACCTTGCAGCCGGCATGGCCGTCGAATACAGCGAAGAAGCTCCAATCATTGAGCGAATCTCCGAGACCGGCGCGCGCGTAGTAGGCATCCTCCATCTCACAGCGCCAGCCTTGCATTGAGCTGACGCCGAAGAGCAGCTTATTGCCCTCGCCCTGGTCATTGTGCTTGGCGGTTTTCGGCTTATCCAGGAATCCGCCCATGTCTACTGAACATGCTGTGTGCTGTGTGCCGGGCGGGTGTAATTCGTTCGCTGCGCCAAGTAGACTCGCCTGTGTCCCAAGGAGCCTAGAGAGAGTGCGGAGGATTCAGTGGAGACCATTAATCGACTGGCAAATCAATAAACAAACACTTGAGGCCGGTTTTTTGGCCTTGAACTCTGTGTGTCTCAAAAATAAACAAACTCTGGGGAAGCCAGAAAACAGAGTTTGGGTTCGGTCTAGACAACTTGTAACGATTATTTACTCAAGGACTTGGAGGTAATAATAATTTTTCAGTTAATAAAAGAAGTATTTTATATTGCAAAGGTATGACACGCTACTGTCAGTCACGATCTTTACAAAAATAATGGAAATACAAGGCATTAGAGGCTTCTGCAGAATGCCTTTTCCTCCCCAACAAAACCTCAAGTCTCAGGGTCTCTCGGCATTGAACAAAGGGAAATTGGAGTTGAGTCATAATATTCGGATTTCAAGAAAGCATGAAATATGTGTTTATTATTTCACTGAGCTTTAACTATTTTCTGGTGTTTATTTTATGTTGGAATGGAATCTTGTAAGGGAAAGCCCCTGAAGAAGCAATCTTATATCTTGATTCCAATCTTTGCGAAATCCTTGACCTTATCAGTTATTATAAACAAGTAATAATAAATCTGACGTATTAATATAAGCAAACGTTTTAATGATAGCTTTATAAGGCAAATCATATATGATCTTATCGGTTAATAAGTATGAATCATTGAAGGGTATTTGTAGAATTGTCTGGAGAAATCCTCTGATTCAAAGGAGTATTTAGCTGGGAAGCAAGCAGAAAGATTTCGTACTTTGTATTATCTAGAAAACAGCATTTTAGTTGGAAAGTATATAAAGTGGTGATCTAATCAAGGGGATTTGCGTGATATAGAGCCTACAGAATATCTTCATATACAAAGGGAATTTAATCAAAGGCTAAATTGTAAAGGAAGACTCGCCTGAATAGCCTTTAAGATATGGAAACTTATATGTTTGGCTGGATTTATATTCTGGCACCTGTTAGTTCCTCGTTTCGATCAATTTTAACCTGACATTCAGAAATTTTACCCTAATTTGATAACTTAAGGGAAAATGGAATTAGCTAGTTGCTGACCAATAATCCATAATGCTTTTTGTGCGGTTTCCTCCTTCAAACTTCTGGGGAATATTTTTTTGAGCAAGGACACGACAATAACAAAAACAAAACAAACGACAAATAAAACGGAAATTCTCAAGGCAGCTCCATTGGCCGCCCACGCTTTTCCACCTCCTTTGACGCCGCTTCTTGTTGTTGTTTCTGTGTCTCCTTCGTTCACTTTCCTTTTTGCACATCGATTTATCAAGGACGCGCGTTCGTCCTTCCTCTTTCATATTATATTCCTAAATGTAGCGTTATTATTCAGGTGGGCGTTTCAAGTAGTTTAAAGAAAAGTAAAGCAGAGACAGTGAGGAAAATAGGTTAAAAATGCGCGGCAGCATCCAGAATTTAAGTTTCTACGCTGCTTCGCGCTCGCTCTCAATAACACCAGCAGTTGGCAGCCCCATTTTCAGAATGTACCGACGAGGGTGGGGGGAGGGGAAAAACAGGCATGGCCCCGAGAAAATTGTTAATGAAAACACACATACGCCGCGATTTATGAACTGCTGGCGCTGTTGAGGAAACCTTCGCTCTCGTTATTTTCACCTCGCAAATTTTAAGTTGATGGTCTTCGCCTTCTGCTTCTTCTGCTTCGCCTTTTGCCGCCTCCTTCTCTCCACTCGTTCCTCTTCTCTGCTTCCTTCTTCGCCTCTCTGTTCGTGTTCGTGCCTGTGTGTGTGTGAACTGCGTATGTGTTCGCGCGCGTGTATGTGTGTATGCGAGTGGCTGCCGTAAGTAAAAAAATTTAAGAACAAAAAATCCCGAGTGTCAGCGTTTTTCGCATCGCCGTTTCTGCACTTCCCGATGGCCGAACGAGTTGCGCGTCAATTAACACCGTTTGCAGGCCGCTCGCTGCACCCTTAAGGCGTAAATTTGATTTTTTCTAATATTTTGATTAACAAAGTGACGCACTAGCAAGTGTGGCCAAAATTTTGTTTTATAAAAGTGTGGCCAGACGAAGATTTGGCTAAAAACCTAAATTACAGTCAAATGTAAGTTTTACTTACAAACCGTGTCAAATGTTGGAATGGGGTAGAAGGTATGTAGAACTCGGTCGAATTCCGAATCGGTATGTAAAACGGGGTCGAATTTTCAATCGGTTATGTAAAATTGTGTAAAATTAGTGTGGCCAGGGAATTTTCCCTTAAAAATTTCAAATAGTTTAAATTTTTCAAATTTGGTTCGGCGGTTAACGTAAAGTGTCAGCTTACAAATTTTATAGAATTTAAATATCTATTATATAAAATAACAATAAAGTACAAAATAGACCAGGGAACCCGCAAAGTGAGAGGTTTATCTATAGGAAGGGTTTGGGGTTCTCTAAGCTCACTCAGAAAATCCAGGATGGTCTTGGCCACCCGGCGAACGTAACGCTGGGTGGGCTCCACCAGAGCCAGGTGGATCTTGGAGACATCATCCGGGGCCTCGTTATCTCTGGGTGGTAAAATAGAACTTAAAATAGGATGAGTAGGTTGCTTTGAGTTGTAGATTATGTTGTACTTCTTGCCAAATTTCAATTTCAGTTATCGTGTCATTAAAATTAAAAGGAACTTGAAAAAGCTGAATTAAATTACTTACTGGAATTAATAATTTATTACATTGAAGTTAAATAGTTGCACTTGTCTGCTGACGAACGATCTCGGTAATTAATAGAAGTTCTTATTTAGCAGCCAAAGTTAAGAAGAATTTCGTTTAGTGATGTCTAGGAAAAATAAATGTATTCCTTAAATTTATTAGAATAAGAGTTCTCAGAATAAAATTTAAGAATTAAATTGTATTATCAGCATGAATTTAATTTAATCAATAGTAAAATACTGTTGTTGCTGCCACAAACTATAAAAACGCTGTCTGGCGGGCAAGAATCGCCAGTCTTTACAATTTATTTGACAAGATGCGATTACTTGTGGTGCTTTTAGTTTTCGGATTTGTTTGCCGAGAAGTGAGTATAAATCAAGAGTCTAAAACTAATGTAAAAATAAGGAAAGCAGAAAACTATAGTTGTTATTGCTGAGTAATGACTTTGTTAAGTATGTGGTTTAATGAAAAAATAGAAAAGTTCGCAAAATGAAAGCCCAAGGTCTAGTACAAAAAAATCTTATTTATGTTAGTCTCCCTCATAATTTACTTAATCCCAAATTATTTCATTTATTTATTTTTTCACAGATCAATTCCGAGGAATTCCAGAAAATTGGAGAGAAATCTTACTATATTGAGAACGATAAAAAACTCGACTGGTTCCAGGCTCGCGATAAATGTAAAAGCATGGATGCCCACTTGGTTAGCATTCAAAACTATAAGGAATGGATGGATATCACTGATTGCTTAATTAGTTCCAAATCCTACTGGGTGGACATCAGAGATGTTAACTCAAACTTTAACTTCATATCAGACACTTCCGAACAGGAAGCTCCTTTTCTTAAGTGGTCCCACAGACAGCCACGTCGTAAAACCGATTATGATTGCGTAAAGCTGAAGATTAAAAGCCATAAAATGAAAACCAAGTATTGCAGCCAGGAGAACCATTATATTTGCGAAGCCAACAGTCGTCCTGCTCCAGTATACGAAACTAGGAGAGATATGAGACATGATTTTACTAATTGTTTTTTTAATTTTTCTGAATTTAAAAAGTTAGTTTATTAAATTAAATGCCATATGATAACACAACACTTAGGACATTTTGTGTGTAAATCTACAAAATTAAGTTACTTCCTTGAAAATAAAAAGAAGAAATACCTATGGAATTAGTTAAAAAACTCAAGTGACCAATTTCAAAGCTAATTGTCAAGTAAATTTTGAGTTACCAGGAGAGCACTTTAAGGTCCATTGAACACCAAACAGCCTGGACTTATAAAATTGGATTGACAAAAATATAAAGATCAGAAAAAAACTATGTTAAATCAACTATATATTCCTATTATTAATTAAATAATATGTATACAAGCTATGTGTATAAAAAGCTTCTTAAAGTTAAAAATAATAAAAATAAAAGAACAGCAACTGTTGATAATCGTTTTAATATTTATTTACTTTGATAAAAGAGCGAGTAAGCAGCGATCTCGACTTGAATATTTCACAACACGCTGACGGTGGTGGGATAGTCCCATTCAGGATCGGCCAGGCATCCGTTCATTTCCTCCAGGGACTGGGCGTGGTTGGCCCTGTACTTCCTCTGGGCCCCCAGCTGGCACTCGGACAGCGTCTTTGCGATGCCGTCCACCTCAGCCAGCAGGCTGGTTCGGCGGTCGGCGGCCTGGTCGGAGACACCAGTCAGATCCTTGGAACTCGAGGGACCCTGCAATTGCATATATAAATTCAGTTATTAATAGATTACTCGACTTTGACTCACGGTACTCTAGATCTTCACACTTGGTGCTTTACCATATTTACTTAATATATTAATATGTTATTTATAAACCCCTCGCGGTTCCCTATTTGCTATTCAGATATTTTCCCAAACACTCACGCTGTTGGCCAGGCACCCGAAGGCATCCAAGTTGGTTTTCTCGGCGTCACAGAGCACCAGGGATCCGCAGGAGCTGCGGACGGATTCCTTCAGCTCGTCGCGGGCGTAGGTGTAGCTGCCGTCAATCAGGACAAAGGCGTTAGAGTAGTTGTCATCGCAGACCCCGAAGTCCGTGTCCATCTGGTCGGCGTGGCCCTTGAGCACCGGCAGGTAGTAGTCGAAGCAGGCCGCGTTGAAGGTCTCCCCGGAGCGCAGGGCAGGCGAGTTGAGCAGGAAGTCGGTCAGCGTAGTCTCCTCGGTGATCTCGAAGGCGGCGGGCACTGCGGATCCACAGGCGGCGCCGATGGCCAGGAAGATGGTCAGGGTCTTAAAGAACATTTTCACTTTTTCGCGGTAGAGGAGAAACTGGATGAGATCGTGGAGCCCAGAGGCTTTTATACCGCAAGAGGCTCCTAATCAGACTCCCTAGATTTACGATACGGCAATTATCGGGGGAATTATTTATTTACTAGCTATTATTATGACGCTGAGTCGGCCAGGTTTCCTTTAACAGTATCAGCGAAACCCCCGAAAATCGCACAGATACGCCTATTTCTATCTTAAACGATTGTTAATAGGGTCCAATAAATATCATTTTAATCATTCTAATAGTAATATTATCTTGAAGAAGCTTTACCGACGTCAATTAAGTGGACCAACCATTAATAAATATTTAAAATCAAGGAAATGCGAATTTTTAAGTGAAAGCCAATAAATTAAGAGCTTACAAATTATCATGAAAGGGGCTTTCTTTCTTAAACAAAAACCCCCATAAACCTTATGATTGGTAGATCAATTAGTCACTCAGATTAAAAATACTTACTTTCTGATTGAGGAGCTATGGAAGTATTTTATAAAATTACATTTTATTATGTTTATTCATCGAATTCAGGATCATAAATTATAAGCCCATTATCAGGTGTAGTTATTATATAGTCGCCATTATCAAGACGATGTTTGAAGGTCGTAAAAACCATTATCAATGAAAGCAAGGAGAATTCTCAGAACTAAGTTATCTACTGCTACTGAAAACTCTCACATATAAAAAGTTATATTTTTATATATGCAAAAACTAACGCTTTATTATTGGGGTTGCTTTTAGCGTAATTCGACTAATCATTATAAATATTATGTATTATAAATCATATATTGAATTGAGAGCTATATAAATGATATTTTCTTTTTTCTTAATAATACTTTTACTTTAATTAATTAAAAAATTGCACTACTTCTTTGTTTTTCAACATATATATTTCAAGTCTGAAGGTGTTTTATATAATTACTCCTGTTAGTTTTTTTTTTCTTTTTCATTTGTCCATTTGTGAATCGATTCGTATTTAACCAATTGCAAACTGCAAACTGCAAAGAATATCCGTGTTTAGTCACTCCTATTTCGAATACTGTAAACATATATATCAGGTTATTGCAAAATCTTGAATAATCGTAAATACCTCACCTTTCCCAAAGAAGCTTAAGAGTACTTCGCTTTAGGACAAACATAATGAAAATAATGATGCCGATGCAAGAATCACAGTATCGGCAAATCGTCAGAGGAAACTCCCAAGAATTTATTAAATATAATAAGCGGAAGCTCCACTGTATATCCATCAAGAAAATCATCCGTAAAAATACTTTATAGCTGTGATCAGATTGTGGAAAACTCAAATATTTTGACAATAATATTTTATTGTTAATTAGGTTATCTTACATTTGCATTCTCGAGTTCAGGTTCCTTGCCCTCTCGTCCTGGTCGGAGAAGTGCCTCAGTGAGAGTTTTACTCTTATAAAGTTGATGGTGGTCAGTAAAAAGAGGGTTGTGTTTAATGTTACTAGTATAGCCATCGGCAAAACCATGTAGTAATAAGACAAACTCTCTGAAAAAAGGAAGAAAAGGTTTTTTTATTTCTTTTGGAACACTAACAAAAGCCTACCCCTTAAAGCACAGGCTTCCCAACCAATACCGGGCACCCATTCAAACTTGTTGGGATCTCCATCCCAAATGTGATCAATCAGAAAGGGTATCCCCGTCAGGGTAGTTGGCGTTCCCCAGGCAAAGGTGCTGTAAGCTTTGAAGCTATATTCAGATTCAGCTCGATTGACCGAAGTAAAGCCTCTCCACAACTGATGGCTCATTGCCAAAAGCCAACTTAATTTGGCGAAAAACAAAAAAATTATGTAATCTCCTGCAATAGGTACGAAACAAAAATTGTAATTAGTTGCGAATTTGTACACTAAATTTATTGAAGTTATACATACCATGTAGAGCGCACAACTGCAAAGGCATTTGATCGTTTTTCAGCAATTGATGGAAAAAATACATAAGCGAAGTTATCATATAACAGATGAAACACTTTCCGTGCAGATTCCGAAGTTTCCTTACTTTGAGATACACTGCGATTGTGAGAGCCAAGAAAACTTGTGAAAGCCACAACACTGGTGGTCGGAAATAAAATATATAAGAAGAGAAGTAAGTGAGTAATGGCTATATAGTTACTGCTCTTACGTATTTTTGTTCCTGGTAGAAATGATATTTCTTCCCTCTCATAGTAAAAGCTAGTATGAAAGGCAGCCACAAAGGACTCTGTCTTGCCTGATGTAAACTGATTTGGATGGAGACAGTCATATCCCCTTAAGTTTATTTGCTTTTTCCCGTTGAACAAAACTCTTCCGTTCTAAGAATATCACGTTAGTCAAAGAAACATCGAACAGAAAGGTGGACTAACCTCGAACAACGTATACTTATCTTCTATCCAATTATCAAGCCACCGCATTCGATCTCTCATCACGATAAAATCCTTTAACAAGTTCCTTCGCACCACGGATCCGTTGTTGAGAGTCACTTTAAGGAAGGGATTAATCTCACTAAGCTGCTCCATCAGGCCATCGGTGCATTTTTCATTGGATGCATCCCAATCTTTGAAGCGACAACAGATCCATATGCATGGCTTAATTTGGCAGATACATCCTCGTAGGTGGCTATCCCAATTTTCCATGCGTTGATTTTCCGTTGTTATGTAATCATATTGGCCAGTCAAGTATTCAGGAACCTCGATCCCGTGGTACATAAATGAGCCGTTTCCTAGCCTTTGACTAGACGTTATATTCACAGTTTCTAAAAAGTGACATCCAGGAATCTCCGCTTTTGCTGTGTGCAGGATAATAAGCCCATGAAGTGCTCCGAGAAAAATAATGCAAGTGCTTTTGCCTTGGAACATAATATACGAACTAAAATTGACGACTAATTTACAATCAGCTTGGTGGTCGGGTTTATAAATCTTTCAAGAAAGCAACTTCTTTGAAAAATTATACATAAAACCATATGATTAGCTATCAACTTTCCTCCGGGAATATTATTTAAATGACTTTCTTGTTATTCGTGGCATTTGGCGCCCTGAGGCATTGTACTTTTCAAGTCAAGTTCGCTGTTTACTCGCTCTTTTATCGCAGTAAATAAATATTGAAACGAGAATCTAGAGATATTATAATTTATATTTATTAATTTCTGAGTTCCTTGTAAATCTATATGTAATTTTTTATTGATTCTTGGTAGACACACCCCTAATCAAATCTCTGACTAATTTAACACCTCTTGTTATCTAAAAGTTAATTGAAGCCACTATGTATCAGCTAAAAAGTGTAATTAAAAAGATATCAAGCAGAGGAGAGTCGGCGAACCGCGTATAAATAGAGCCTTCGAAATCCATTCCGGCCAAGTTTGCCGCCCAAGATGTCACAGAAACAATCCTCGCTCCTGGTACTCTGCCTGCTCTGTGTGGCCGCCAGCCTGGCCACCAAGGTTCATAAGCTGCACTTCACTATCAAGACCAATGCCCACCTTGCGGAGCTGCAGTCGGAGAGCAGGGAGCTGGCCGCCATCCATGCGGACGTCTCCTCCACTTGCTTCAATATTTACAGGCCCATCCTGGACAGCGTAACCACGGAATACGAGACAAGCTACGGGGAATGCGTCTCCGCCTACGACAAGTCCTCGGACGTGATCAAGTCCAAGTACGATTCCGTGCGCAATGACATAATAGTGACCACCCACAATGCGTGCTACGAGGCGTGTTGCAAGGTCTGGCAGCCGGAAGCTGAGAACGATCTGGAAACTCTGATCAAGCGCGTACAGTGCGCCGCCGATGTCTCCACCGAGAACTCCAAGATCATGTACAACGTCTCCTCAAATGCCACGGAGAATGCCGTCAAAATCAAGGAGGAGTACCGCGTCGTGGACACCCAGCGAAATATCTGCGTGAACAATGCGGAGCGCAACTACGTCCAGGACACGACCACCACCTACGAGCAGCTGAACGCCTGCCTCAAGGGCAACCAGCCCGATTCCGTTCCCACACCACCGGAAGCTCCGTCAGACGACATCCCAGTCGACATCCCTAACCCCCCCAATGCAAATGATGATAACCCTTAGATCTACATTTTTTAAGACTTTGGGATAGAAAAGTCCAGATGCAAATAGCATTCAGGCAGCCAATTTTGTAATATTTAAATTAATCAATAAAAATCAGGCCAACTAATTATGTTTAACATGTTTTAAACTATTTATGTTTTAAGTTTATGGAACTTTACTTTTCAGGTTTTATTCAATTGAAAAAAAAAGTTGTTAACAAATTAAGAAAGGGAACTAATTTAGGAACGACGTTGTATTTATGGAACTTTACTTTTCAGGCTAGCAATTATTTCAATTAATTGAAAAAAATAGGGTAAGGTGGGGTAAAGCCGACCTAGTAAATGGTTTTGGCTATAAAATGTTTATTTTACATCGGATAAAGTCGTTATATATACCAAATTAAAGGTTAGACTTTTGCGCAACGTTCTATGCATAGCATTTTATTCATACCTTTGAAAAGTTTTGAGATACAAGCGTTTTACGAAAAAGTTCATTTTTGCTATGTTCAAAAATGATGGGGTAAACCCGACCGCCTATGTTTTTGGTTGCTTTAGTACAGATATAACCTAAATATAGGTTTTGCAATGATAAATCAATCAATGTTATGTTATATAATGGTAATAAAAGATAAAAGAATTAAAAAAATTAAAATAGCAAAATAATTAATCAGTATCATCTGATTCGCTGCTCAAATAGCTTGCTGGCGTTTTTTGGTTCGAGTTGAACGTTTGATTGGCTGCGATGTTGATGGTTTTGGTGTGATTGTTGTTTTTTTTGGATTTTTTGCGGCAGGATTTACCCCACTATTTAGAGGTCGGATTTGCCCCACCACGTAATTTTTCATAAAAACGCAATTAAAAAAGAAATTATGAAAAAAAAATGAACCAAACTTATATGCACTTTGTAGGACTTTATTCAAAGAATCTAAATATACTTACCTTTTCATGCGATAACTTTGACAAAAAGAAATATCCTGCAGTTAATTATGCACAAAAATGAAATTCAAAATTGTGAAAACAAACTTGTTGTCGTTTGACCATCTCAATGTTGACTAATAAAATGCTGTCATACCACCATTTACATTGTTTTCGATGCTCTACACGACAACACTAATATTATTTTGCGTAGTGCTTCCGATATTCGAAAACAGAGGGAGGTCGGGTTTACCCACACTGTCGGCTTTACCCCACCTTACCCTATTATAAACAAATTTAAGAAAAGCAACTAAAGTTTGGGACGATGAGGTTTATATGAAACTTTACTTTTCAGGATCCAATTAATTTAAAAAAAAATTAAGAAAGGGAATTAATTTCGGGACGATGGAGTTTTTAAACCCTGACAGTTTGCTGTTATGTAAAAAAACATACATGCGGGTTGAACTCCTAGATTATCATATTATCAGGTATTATTATATTAACACAATTCGTTTCAAAGTTGGAAACCACAATAACCGGAACTATGTGCAAAAAAGGTAAAAATGGATGAATTTATTTAGATTTTTATATTACTATTTTTCTATTGTTTACATCAATCGATGTAATACTCATTAACTCGCTTATAATAATACTAATAATTAAAGTCAGTTATATATATGTATATTTATAATTGCTATTATAAAAATATAAACTTCAAGTATTGACAAGACTGTATTTGTAGTAGATTGTGACGTTAATTCTAATAATTTTATTTATATATTTTTTTTTTTTAAATTAAAGCGCCTGATATCATAAATGTGATATAATGAATTTATAAATGTATTTATTTATTTCATTAATTTGTATTCCATTTCCTTAGATATTAAAATGATGTATTAGTGATATAACAATAAAAAAAATATTTCCATTTATATTGAAACAATATTTCAATAAGAAGTTAGATTTTGGCACATGTATTGCATTGTTAATATATTGATTTGTTATCATTTTTCTATATATCGAAGAATGAAAAACCGCTCTTTCACTTCTCAAACTAAGTTCAAATTGTTCAAAAAACAATTAGGAAATATTCTAGGGTTGTTTTCGCAGCGGAAATTACAACTTGTCAAGCGGTAATAGGTTTTAAATTTTGGCAACTACAATTCCGCTGAAAATCAATAACTAGTAAGCAATTATCAAGAGCACAATCCAATTAATAAATACTCAGAAGTCTCGGCGCTTCCCCAAACACAAAACAATTAGGAGGGGAGATAAGGAGCCTCTTTAGTTGCATATAAAAGTGGCGAACTCCGCATCCATGGCATCTAGTTGGGAGCCCAGACTCTGCCCTCAGTCATGTATTTCCTACACTTCGTGTTGGCCCTGTTCCTGGCCCTTGGCCTGGCCACCGGCCTTACCCTGAACCTGAACCTCAAACCGAACTCGGGCAAATTGAAGTTGAAATTGCCCACCAACAAGAAGATCCATGGCCTGCAGCAGCAGACGGAGGTGCTGGCTGTCCGGGATCCACAGACCACTCAGCAGTGCTTCAACTACTACACACCCATCCTCAGCGGGATTACGGATCGGTACGAGAAGAACTATGGCCAGTGCAATCAGGATCACAGCACAGGCAGCGAGCTGGTGATACTCACCTTCAAATGGACTCTGTACGACATCCAGGAGGCTACGGATCAAGGCTGCAAGACCTTCTGGCCCTGCGGATCCATTGTGGACTATGTGGAGGCCTTCCAGTGCTTTGCCAGTGCGGTAAGGATAACTCTTACAGAGTTTTATAAATGAAAAATTATTCATATTCATTTTATATATAATTAATAGGCCGCTGACGAGTCGAAGATCATGTACCAAGTGTCAGCCGATGCCACTGAGGCGGCTGGCAACATGAAGATCGATCTCCAGACCCTGGACACCCAGCTGGAGCTCTGTGTGACCAGTGCCGAGAGGGAGTACGTCGAGGGAACCATCGCCACCTATGAGGACCTCAACAAATGCCTCAATGGAGGCGGTCTGACTACAGACACCGTTCCTGGTGGGGATTGGGATACTACTACGGATTGGTATACAACCGTTGCCTAAAAATAATAATTAATACAAATTACAAAATGAAAATAAATTTAGATTGAGCCTGAACAAAGAAGCATTTAATTTCTTAATCATCTTAAAGTAAATTTTTCTTAAATTCAAAAATATTAACTAAATATCCTTACTTTTAGACCACCCCGAAAACCGTATCATATCTGAGCCGAAACCGAAACTATCCAGCTAATTTCTTTTATGTCCTAATTTAACGACAATCCCTTCTGCGTTTCTTCCAGTTTTTTCCCACAGTTGACCATAGACTCCCTCCCATATCTATCTGTCTATCTGTCAATGGACCTGCTCCTTTGACCTGACCACACCCAAAAAAAATATAGGAACAAGAAAAACAGGTAAACTGGTAGAAATCAGTTCGCATCTTGTCCTCGGACAAGAGCCCCGGCCTTTGAAGGACTGCCGCCGAGCGACGTTGTCGCCGCTCTTTGTCAGCGCTCTGTAAAAATTTTGCGCTTAATTAATTGTGAAATATTGGCTGGAAAATCAATTGACAATTGAGTTGTAATCGCAATGGCAATGCTCAATGGACAGTTGGCCAAGTAGGCGTCGGAGAATCCAGGGAGATCGTCGAACCCGAGGCCTATGGCTTTGACTGGAGCTCGGTCTGGAACTGGAACTACAATTGCCAGTCATGTCTTCATAAATTTCATTCCGACTCCGGTCCGCGGTCTCCCCCCCGAACATGCGCCAAAAACATACACACACAAATATCGGGCCTCGAGCATACTATATCCTATGGCTATTCCCGACTATTTCATCTTTTGCCGACGGCGTACGGCGCATGTTGTATGCAAGCCTTAAATTGAATCGTTACAAATTTTGTTGCTCGTTATAGCAAGCGTTTTATTGCCATTGCCCAACCAGTTTTCTGTGTTTTTTTTTTTTAATTTTTTTTTGTTGCAATGCAAAGCAGCGGAAAAGCGAGTCCAAGTCGAAGTCGAAGCCAATCCTGAGATTATGATCGCCGAACCAGGATCCCGCCTCCTCCGTCTAGAAACGGTAGCCCCTGTGCCCCAGCGGCAGCGTTTAATAACTTCATTAAATGCCCTTTGACATTTATGCCAGAGAGACACACACACACTTAGTTATGTGGCACTATCTCGTCGCCGAGATCGGTACAGGTAGCCCAAGGAACCCTATAAATTACACAATCATCAGATAGGGAAAACTGTTTACAAGCCGAGACTCGGGCCAGGCACGCCCACAGTAGCCACTGGGGAGACGCAGACGGAGACGATGTCCACTAAAAAGGTCATCAACTATTTTAGAAACTAATTTTACACGGGAAGAAAATGTTACCTAATAGAAGGTAATTGATTTGGTTAATAAGATAAAGGTTAAAAATGAGATTGAAAGAGGCTGAAAAGTTATAAGTTATAATGAAAGATTTTATTAAATACAAAATAATGTTTAGAGCAATAATATATATCATAAAAAATATTTAAACAATCTTTAGATGTATTATCTAGCTTTTAATAATTAAACAAATATAAAGGTCTTGGGAAAAATAAAAATAAAATGCATTTTTAAAACCTTCCTTAATAAAAAGAATTATATTAATATTACCTTAATATTTCCCAATAAACTAGTGTTTTTCTTTTAATAAATTAACGCTAAAATATTTCTCTTTCAACTCAATTTTCCCCAGTGCACTCCAATTGATTAGCCTCCCCTCTGGCTTTCCTATTTTATTGAAAACTATTTTTTATGAAGCAACAGCCGCGGGTCAAAGCTAATTGCTCTAATTTCTAGCTAAGCAGACACAGACGCGCTCTTGACATTTTTGTTTCGGGCAATGCCATAAATATACTGCTGGAGGATCGGTGATCGGATCAGCGAGATCGCAGCTTGCCGCCCGCCGATTTTATCAGGCGAACCCGAAGGAGACCAAGTCTGGGATCCGAATTTGTCGGCGGTTTGTGGCCCTTTTTTCTCTGGCCAAAAACAATGGCCATTTGAATTTGAGTTGGCCCGGAGACCGGGCGCAGTCAAAGATTTATTACACTCAATGCCCTACAATCTGGCGGGACATTGCCCTGGCCCACACAGCCTTATCTCTGAACTATAGGGGTGTACATATATATATTCCATAAGCTCAGTAGCTTTGTCAGCACGTGGCAACCGAGAAGAGAGCGTCTAGAAAGCAAGCTGAGGAGGAGCCCCGTAATCAGAACATTGATAGGAACAAACGACTCGTAATTGATCGACTAATTGGGGCTGAATTCGAGTTTTGTTTTTATTATTCTTTTTTAAGAAATTGTGAATTATCACAAAAATATGTTTCGAAATGCTGACGACAGGCAAAAGCTGTTCAAGATTAGGATCTAAACACATGTTAATCTTATCGAAAACTTTGGAAACTGCGAAATTAAATTTAAAGGGAATCCTGAAAGTGTTTAAGTAATTATTAGTACATTTTTTAGTCAAGTTGAGTGAATAAAATAGTTAAAAATAAATAAGAAAAAGCGAAAATGATTAAATATTCTTAATAAAAATAATATTTTAGAAAATTATATAAAATATATTGATAAAATACGATTATATCGATTTATTAGACATATATCACAATCTTGGAATTTATATTTAAACATATATTTTCTCGTCAAAAACAGATCTATAATTTCCATGATTTCAGGGACTTCCTTCTTCGACTTAAAAGAAATCAAAACCCTTGCCTTCGATCTGCCGCTGTGATTTTTGCGTAAACGAGAATCAGAATCCGAATCCGAAAACCAAATCCAAAAGTGATCGATAGGCGGCGGCCCGTCGACAGAACTTTGGTTATCGTTTCGGGGGCCATTGTGGCTCTTGGCTCTTTTGCGGGGCAGAATTATTATGTATCTCGGAGCGATTAACAGACGCATTTCAATTTTATTGCGCCAGATCATTATCGGAGCGGGGATTCAACCTTTTTGTTTGCTGCGACAACAAATCATTAGATCATGATGATCGCGATGATCATAACGAAATCATAATAAAAACGAAAACACCGGAGCGGAGACGGAGGAAAACCAACCAGGCGATCGCCGATCGGGCATCAAAGAGCCCGAAATTAACATTGAGGCGCGAAGAGAAACTTTCCTTTCGCCGGATGATGCCAATGATTTCACCCAGTGCCACATATTGGCCAATGCCAGCGGCAAAGGAGAAGGCAAAGACGACACATTACCTAGGAAGGCACTGGAAAAAATGCAATATAAGAATAAGAATATACAAAAATGAATTAGAAATTACAGCATTACATTGTGTTTATTATCAAAATTTAAGTCTTAAATAGGTAAACTTTTATTGAAATTAAAAAATAAATTAATTGAAATTTCAAACCAATTTTAAGAGGCAACAGAACATATTTTTGATATGACTTTATATTGGACTTTTCCTTTCAATATAAATGCTAACACCCTGCTAATACCCCATTTAATCTTCTCTCTATTTTTTCGAGCAGTGCATCCTCATCATCGCCGTGGTCATCATGGTCAAAACGAAATGGAGACGTGCCATTGCGGGTGGCTGTGGCAATTAGACAACAAGTGGCTAAGCCTGCTAGGCGGAGGTAAGGAGGTAAGCTATCTCAAGGCGGTCAGTTCAAAGGCCTGCGATCCACTAATCAGCGAGAAACAAACCCGTTGACTGCCCAGAGCAGGTGTGAAAATCGTTCACCGTTGGGCTGGCTGGGAATAATGGCCATAATGGGTGGCAATGAAGCGCAGCGGTTGAGCAAATAAATTAATCAAAAGGAAATCGGCGTGGAAAGCAAACGAGGGATTTTAGTTACCCGCCGTTGACCGCTAATTCACATATCATTTATTTTATAAATTAGCTGAGAGATCAAAGCCATCGCCATCACTTTGGGCGATGTCAAACAATGGTTAGTATGTATTTCGCATTGATCTTGCCGCGGAGAGGCACTTCGGAAGCACTTGGGCTTCTGTGGCCCGAAAAAAAAACGGAGAAAAGAAACCCGAAAATGGTTTAATTTGTTTGTGCAGCGGCAGCGTTTGGTAAATGAAACGCTAAGTGGCCAACAGCTTGTTTGGCCAAGGGCCGCCTATTTACATACCTCAACTCCGGAGTCCGAGGGCTTCTCCCTCCCTCCCTGCCTGACAAATTGCTTGGCTGCATTTCATTTTTTCGAGCGATCAAAAATCTAAAAAAAATCACAGAAATTAAAAACCAAGGGTTACTGGTCCTCCCTTATCCCCTTATCAATTTGAGAATACAACTTTATCGCTTAATCCCCGACTTTTCCAATTACAAAAGGCACTGAGAATATGCTTCAGCCTCCTGTGTGTGTTTGCTTTGAAATTGATTTGACTTATGGTACACCCCTCTCATGAGGGTGTAACACAAACCGAGGAGTGTTAACCACCCGTAGCCCCGCTGCTCTGTTTATCCCATCAGTTCCACCCTTCACTGCCACTGGCTCCCTGCTCTATGATATATGTAATTTTGATAACGAGAGCATTTAAGCCTGAACAAAAGAGGGGCGGAGAAGGTGGCAGAGATGGCAACCAAGGGGTTAAGGAAGTAGCTAAATTCAGGAATTATAAGAAAAAGTATTAATAAATTTAAGGAAATTTTAATAAATAAATGAAGTGAAAAAAATATATAATATATTCAGTTAAAATACTTTTCTTATAAATTAACTTAAAATACAAAATATACAATAATATTCCAGCTTAAATGCAATATAAATCAATATTTTAAAGCTGCTATATATGAGATATAAATCAATATTCCTTTTGATATTAAAACTCTTCTAAATCAGAGCTTAAATCTAGTTTAAACTATTATATTTTCCGGCTATAAAAATCTGAAAATCCTAGCTAATCTAACATCCCTTTCCAAGACAAAGTTTCCTCGTAATTTGCCCGCCTAACGAGTTCCCTTTCCCGTTCCCCCGGACAACCAAGTCCCCAGAACCCACAAAACCCACCCTCGCCTCTCAGCCTTTCTGATGGTGGTGGTGGTGGTGGTGGCCA